CCCATTAAGTGAGGCCCATCAACATAAAATAAAAGATAAAATACAGGATATCACACGAAAGGCTGTTAGGGCCCATTCGGCCCAGTCTCTTTACATGATGCTAGCCTCACTAAGATCAGAAACCAGATTCTGAATGGGGAACAAGTCCCACCTGGTTTCTCCCTTTGTAATGAAACTCTGATGCACAAGGGCAGAATGGTGTTGCCAAGTAACTCAACCCACATTCCGGCCCTCTTAGAGCTTTTTCACACTTCTCCAATGGGTGGACATTCTGGCATCCTACGAACCTATCATAGGGTATCCTCTCATTTTTATTGGGTGGGGATGAAGAGACAGATTCGGGAGTATGTTGCCATGTGTGCAACATGTCAGCGGCATAAATATGACAATCAGTCCCCAGCTGGGCTGTTACAGCCTATACCGCTCCCGGAACAAGTATGGGATGAGGTAACTATGGATTTCATTACTGGTCTACCTCCTTCCGGCGGAAAGACAGTCATTGTTGTTTTTGTGGATGGGCTGTCTAAGTATGCGCATTTTGCACCACTATCACATCCATATACTGCAGCACAAGTGGCCAAAATTTTTGTCCAGGAGGTCTCCCATTTACATGGCACGCCCAAGGCAATTATCTCTGATCGGGACTCAGCTTTCATGAGCCGTTTCTGGGGTGAATACTTCCGGGTGCAAGGAACGAAACTCCATCACTCCACCAGCTATCATCCACAATCCGATGGACAGACAGAGGTGGTGAATCGTTCCCTTGAGACCTACCTTCGGTGCTTTACTAGTGACTACCCCGGGAAGTGGGCCAAGTGGCTTCCGTGGGCAGAATACTGGTATAACACTTCTTTTCATGTTTCAATTGGCATGTCACCTATTCATGCTCTATATGGAAGGGAACCACCCTCCCTACTAACTACCCTATGAGAAGGGATCCACAGTTGTGGCTGAAGTAGATGAACATCTAGCAGACAGAGATGCAGTCCTTAAGGACTTAAAAGCCAACTTGCTAAAGGCGCAACAACAAATGAAGGCCCACTATGATAAGAAACATCGAGATGTTCAGTTCAAGGTAGGAGACTGGGTTTATTTGAAGCTGAGGCAAGCAGAGTAGCTTGGCTAAACGGTCCTCTCAAAAGTTGGCTCCCAGATTTTATAGTCCATTCCATATTGTAACCAGGGTGGGGAAGGTGGATTATAAGTTAGACCTCCCTAGCTCTTCCAAGATACACCCAACATTTCATGTATCCCTATTGAAGAAACATTTAGGGCCAGTCCCTTCGGTTTCAGCTTGCTTACCAGAATTTTCTGAGGAGGGGGTTCTACAGCCGAAGATGGATCACATTGCTGACTTCAGGTGGATCCGAGATGGCAATAAGTCAGTTCAGCAAGCCTTGGTGGTATGGAAACACCTTCCACCGGAAGACGCCACATGGGAAGACTACTGTCAGCTGCAACAACACTACCCCAGCATTAACCTTGAGGACAAGGTTGTTATAAAGGGGGGAGGAGTTGATGGAACTGTTGATAATAACAGAACTGTGAATGGTCCATTTAGGCCCATTAAACTAGTGTATACCCGAGGACCTCGCAAGATGGCCCATTATGGCTGAAAAGGGGGTAACTGACATCTATAAATAGTCCATGAAACAATGAGAAAGGCATCGAGCCATTTCAGAATCTTTTGCTCTCTCTCTCTCTATTTTCTGATTTCAGGAGGCAGAGTCTCCCTCGAAGAAGATTCCTGTGGTGAGCAGGCTCTCATCAAATGTTCACTACCTAGAACAAGCCACAACTTCTCATCTTCCTCCTGCTTTTAATGTTTACCTTTAGAATTCCTTCTAAGTTTTTTTTTTCCCAATTTCCCTAGTTAAATATGAAATAATAGATGCGAAATAACCAATCAAAAAACAAAAGATGGGAAATAAAAGGTTAGCTCCAAGACCCAAGATAGTATTGACATTAGGTAATGTTCCTTTTAGATGGGAGATAAAAGCCTTGGCATAATGGTTGGGTTGCTCCATTGCGACCTGGTGACCAGGTTTCAAAATCTTGGAAACAGCCTCTCTATATGTGCAAGGGTAAGGCTGCATGCATCTGTCCCTCCCAAGACCCTGCATTGGCAGGAGCTTCATGCACTGGGTTGGCCCTTTTCTAAAAAGCATTTATCATTCTAAGAGTTGACAAATTTTAGATGATTGTAAATTGGAAACTTGATGGATCATTAAATAAACTTGAGATTAGTTTTGCAAATCATAACTAATATTCTCAAAACAAACTTACTCATCCACTATGTCTTCTGCTACATAAGAGTAACCTATATTCTTATTGATTTTGCATGCCATCTGTTTTCATTTAACCACATAAGAAACAAATTCCATGATTTATATTTTACCTTCCCTGATCTTCTAATACGACCATCCAGGCGCAATATTATGTATACATCCTCACCAGGAGTAACACCTTCTGACTTTTGTTGATCACGAATCCACCTGAAGGATTAAAATATTTCAATATCTGGAAAAGGGAAAAATAAAACTGGGAGTAGAAAAGTTAGAAATCAACTGATTCTGAACATCTAGATGGACCCAATAACCAAAAAGAGAAAAATAATTGAATAAGTCAAGGATCATTAGCTTCAACTTCTATTTTGTTTAAAAAGGTGCTATCTTTTCTCATATAAGATCTAGAAGAAAATAGAATGGTTTTGTTTCAATCACACTACAGAATAACCATTTTAGAGCAAAAAAAAAGGTGAGCGGAGAGTAGCATGTCACCTTTCCCATTCAGCAGGTGATACAACCTCAGCCTTAAATCGCACCTCTGCTTTCAACCGTGACTTTGCAATAATAGATTGTGCACGCTTCTCAAAATCTTCCTACCGTTATAGCATTACATAGTGTCAAATTAGTAATAATGGTCAAATGTTAAGAACTGTCCTGGTTTGCAATAAATTGTCCAAAATTTAAATGAAAGGCCGTTACCCAATGTTGGGAGGGGCAGACTGGGAAATTTGAAAGGTTAGGCATCACTATTGCAACTGGCTATGTTTGGGAAGAAAATTTGAAAGGTGTTGATGTACATAAGAAGCACATGCATGCTTTCAACCAACACATATAGACATGCCAGCCACTGACCCACAACATAATTTGTAAGACATAATTTTAACTAATATAAAGTCTATTGAGTTTCTCACAACATACAAACAGCTTTTTGATTTATAAAAGAAGTAGAATGTAGCATACTTCTTAGCATCATGACATACAACAATTACAGTATTCAATACTTAATCTATATACTACATGGTAATTTATCTAGAGATCTGATGATTAACAGGATAGAAATTATGAGAGCTAAATAGTGATGCATTTTTCTCATCAACCTAAATAGTGATATAATATTAGCTCCAGGGATGAAATATTCAATAATCATATAGATAGAACCCATATATCTTACCCCAATAGAAGGAAGAGAAGTAGCTGCCTTTGATGAAACACCAAAGCCTTTTCTCTCAGTTGGCTGTGTTCGACCTTCACCCCAGATGACAGGAACTAAAAGAACTCCTCGCTTGAGGAGCTCAGTTCTGAACCTTTCAGCCTTCTGAATAGCTAGAGAAACAGTCTCTTTTTTCCCAGCTAAAATCACCTAAAAGCATAACTTATTGAGAATGGAAAAATGTACAGATTAAAAATGTAAGAATGATCACTTATTGCAGCATGTGAAAAGACCAAGAATATAACCATCCTTATTATATGAAGGGTGTCTATCAGACATCTAAACACAGTTTTAAGGAATTTTTGAAAGAAAAGTCCAGCTAAATTTTTTAACCTTTTGTGATTTTGCTTTTTCTATTGGGAAATTTCATCAAATTAGACAAAGCAAAATGAGGATTTTTCTTTTACTTGAAAATCAAATACATTCCAAAATAATTTTGAACACTATGGATCATGAAAATTTCCTGAAATGTATACAGATAATTAAGAGATAAAATTCCATAAAAGGTCTATGAATTTGAGTTATAATCACAACGGTATGGCTGTGTATAAAGTGAAAACTGAGAAGGCGAAGAAGAATGACCTAAATAGTTGAAAGAAGGATTGGCTTGGTGGATGACAATGATATAATCATCCTAATGAGAAATTATATTATTTGGTCTTTTCTGAAAACAAAAATTCTGAACGTAATGATAACAGTTATTGCATTATAGAAAGGGAAAGGAAAATGCTGATACTAACTGGCCTAACAGTGTCTCTTAGCTGGACAAGCTCAACAACTCGATTAGTTGAAAGCCGCAAAGGCAACCTTGAGAGTGTTTCGTCCCTGGATATTTGTGCTAGCTGTTCCTCCTCTTTCTTGTTGTCCCAGAAAAATAATGCCACAAGTACTATAATACCTGTAGAGGTACTGATTTAGAAGCTTAGTCAATTTAAGAAACTACTTGTTATTTTCATTTCTCAAAACCATGGAATCTTTTTAAAATAAGTCCAATAGAACAATGTAGCTTACATTTCACTTGTTCCAGGCTGATGATAGCAAACCATGTGAAAGCAGTATAGTTAAAGGCTTGAAGTGTCACCTACTGAAAAATTAGGAATCTTGAAGGCCTATCACCGAGGCAACCAACTAGGGAAGTATATAAATTAAGGCATCTTAGTGCTTGGAAAAAATGCAATATGGCCCCTCTATATATTGAAATGAGTATGTGTAAGTCATTTTGGGTCCGCAGGACGGTATCCTGAAAATCAGGTATGTTATACTTTTCATTTAATTATTTGATTTATATTTTAATCGTTCATATGTGTGTGCGTTGTCTACAAATTACCTGCCACTTTATCCAGATAATGGCAAGGGCACGGATGGACAAGATGTCAGAAATGAAATTTAGACTGAAAATTGAAACATCAGACACAGTATGAAACCCTTATACAGCTATCTGGGTACCATAGGTTGCCCGAAAACCTTAACGTACATTGTGAAAGGTATGACAGAGGGTAAAAACAATGAATCTCCGAATCACTACATCTTTTTGATTGTTTAACATTAATATTTGTCTTTTTAATGCTCCACTACCACCAGCCACCATCCCAAAACGAAAAAAAATATTTACCTACAATGTTAATGGCTGCATTTCCAGCAGTTTCCCAGAGACCTGGAGCTCCATCACCACCTTTAAGTGCACGGAACAATCTAGGTACTGTGAAGAATGTTCCAATTCCTGCACCCGCAGTAAATGCAAAATAAAAAAATCTCCTAACCCCACGAAATGGTGCTTGGACTTCACTGATGAGTTTGAGATCTCTCCTGAAACTGTAGCCAATGTCCTCTCCACCAAGCCTAGCCTGTAATTAAGGCCAAGATTTATTAAGGGCTTAACACTTAATGGATAAAAAATTAGTTAAAAGGATAATACAATATATCATTATGAAGGTATTAAAGAAACCCTGGTACCAGTGAGATAGATCAAGGAAGTTCTATGAACCATGCCAAGCATGTGGAGCACATTGTACTAATTACTCAATACTTCAACATAGGAGACTTTGCGCATCAACCCAATAAGATTACTGGATGTGTTCCTTGTAGATCATTTCCTTTTCCAGCACAGTTTTACACAACTTTGCTCTCTTTTCATGAAAATCGGCATATCTAGGATGCTAAAGTCATTATATGAGGCATTTTTATATGGGTAAAGCCTAATAGAATGGTATCCAGTACCCCTGCATATGCAGTGTTGTAGTCTATGCCAGCAGTTGACTAGCCATAAGTTCCACAAGTTTCCCATTTAACAATATGGGATTTGTAGGTTTAAAAATCATTTGATTTCCATTCAAGAGTTAAGTGATGACAGGCAAACTTTCTGGAGAAAGCTAGATTGAATGTGCATAAATTAAATTAGGAAAGTAGTTACAAAGTAGACTTTTGTATAAAACAGTACACCTCCTCTTGTAGTTCTTTAAATTCGGGCAAGGCTCTGAAGGAGGCCAAGTCTGGATCATTAAGAATAGTGCCAAATTTGAGATCGTATTCTCGTAAAGCAGTACGCAGGCAATCTGCAGCCTTCTTTCCTTCACCTCTAGCTCAAGAAAGGAAAAAAATAAAAGAAAATCCATCATGTCATATAAGAATTCTCAGCTTCAACTTAAATGATACCCAACTCCAAATTCTCTTAGGAACAGTATGTGGCAAGAAATGAAAGTAAATTGAGATATCTGACTGGTTTTCCATTATTAGAACTTAATTTGTACAAATGTGCAATTTGCAACTCATCCAAATATCAGTATTTTAATCTGATTGTAGATGACACAAGTGATACTTACTTCCTCATTCATTTTAATGTAGATAAGTTGAGTTTTTAACCACTGGAGGATCAATTAACAACTCATAAAAACAAAAAAGTTGAAAGTCCTACCTGTAAGCATGACAGCAGGCTTTATTATAAAATGCAGCCTGAGCTTCCATTGGGTTTGGATTTAAAGTAAGCGCTGTTTCAAATTGAGAAAGGGCATCTTTTACCTGGCACAACCATCAACATGAGAAAGGGCATCTTTCAAATTGAGAAAGGACATCTCTTAAGATGCCACAGTGCATGTTAGTTAAACTTTTTGAGAATGCATTGCAATTCATTCATTGTTTAGAAAAGTGTAAATAACGGTTTCTATTAGATTATTATTGGATTAGAATGTAAAAGAAATATATCTGAAACATTATATGTGATCACAAATTGCTTTTTCTTTCTTGGGAAGAAAAGACTCCCTTCATATCAACTTAAAGATGTTCATTTTGTCTGGAAGTGTCTAAAGAAATCATTAAGTCTGCCGCTATATGTTTCTTCAATTTGGTTCCTCTTTTGTTTTTTATTTGATTTATAACACCATCCTCTAGCCGTTGTAAAAGCCCTATCTGAGGGAGAAATTTGGTCCAGAAGATTAAATTCACCAATGTTACATTGCTTGCAACTACCTCGGAAAAAGTTTCAGAAAAAAAATAAAAAAGGGTATCAGACAAACGGTGCATTCCTTTATAATCAATGATTTAATAAAAATCACTACCACTCATTTCTCGTTATAGCTCTAAAGAAAGTTTATTATCAATATGAAGAAAAAATATTTACGCCAGCCCATGAAATCATAAATATTCGCAGTCGGAAAACAAGGTAGATATTTCTTCTTTTTGGTAGAGAAAGGAAAACCAGATGAATGCTTTAAATGTATAATAAGAAACATTACACCTAATAATTATATAGAAACTAAAATTAACCAATCCAACCCTTTCCACAGGGCATCTGTTAGGAATATATAGGCATCTCATAACTGAGCAGTCGAAGGAATGGAAATTGTGAAATAGGAGCAGCCGGGAGCAGAAAAGATGAATTTAAGTGAGCAGGCTAAGATGTAAACTAAAAACACTGGTAAGGGAAAGCTAAATTACCCGTCCTTTGGAGAAAAGGGAGAGACCCAGATTGACGCATGACTCTGCAGTCTCTGTTGTGGCTTCCGGTGAAGACGAAGGGGAAGAAGAAGAAGAAGAAGAAGAAGAGCATGAGACGAGAGAAACACGACCAATCCTTTGGGATTTTAGATGGGTTCTGTTGGGAAGCCATGTAGTTGGCTTTGACAAGTAGAGCAGATGCTGCTGCAATGCAAGAGCAGCAACGGCCATTTAGAAATCATGAAACAGAGCAGCTGCCTGAAAATTCTAAATCTGGGGAAGGGGAGAGCCGAGAGGTGGGGGAAGCAATCTCCCTCCTTGTGTACGTTATCCAGTCCTCGCTCTTCACTGGTTGCTACTCGCTTTTAGGGTGTTCATGTTGGATGGCAAATCGACTAAACCGACCGGATCCAATCCGATTTGGTCGGTTTTTCAATAAGAGCAGAGGTGTAAAACGGACCGTGCCGCCCCCAGGGATATCTTGGGGGTCGGCCCGGCACGGCCCATGGCCCAAGCCCATGCGGGCCCGGGACGTGCTGGGCCGAGCCTAGGCCGTGCCACAGGTCGTGCCTTGGGCATGGACTGGGCTTGGGCCGTGCCACAGGCCCGGCCTTAGGCATGGGCCGAATCGAGCCAGACTGGTTTTTTACCTTTTTTTGTTTTTAGTTTTTTTTTTATTTCTTTGCTTTGTAAAAGTGTAAAACTAAAATATTTAACTTTCCTTTGCSATTTGGAAACTATTTGAAAAAATAACAAATGAGAAATCTAACAAATAAATGAAAAAAATACTTAACCAAATAAGAATGAAATAACAAATTGGAAGAAAAATAAAAATTTTATTTCATTTAAATTTGAATGATACAAATTACAAAGCATACTATGGTTGGATACTTGGATGAATGAAATATGAAAATTGGAAAATGGAATAAATTAATAAAATATAAAAAAGACAATATAGTTACAAATTGAAAATACAAAATTACATTGTTATACAACTATCATTCATGAATCATGACTTTCATCATTTGCTTCAGGTGAAATATCGGATATAGTGTCATGCCCTCCTTTGTCTTGTAATATGTCTTCAGCATCCAACCAATTTTTAAATCAAATACACATCTCTATATTTACATCATTCATACAGCTTCTCTTGTCGTCCAACACCCTAGTACTTGCACTAAAACAAGATTCTGATAGAACTATAGACACCGGAGGGGTTAGTAAATCACATGTCATAGCGGCAATAACTAGATAATTTTTTGAATATTCACTCAACCAAGCCAAAATATCAAAATCATTTATTCCTTCACCTAAAGAAGAAAAATTTACTTGTAAATAAAAATTAAGTTCAGTAAATGAACTTATTGTTGAGGTAGTAGATTTGTGTCTTCTACTTATTAAATAAAAAAGTTTCTCTTCTACTAGGGTTCAAATTCAAATTCAGAAGTAGAAGATGCAACTTTACAACTTGTAGAATTATTTCCCATTACTTCATATTCATATAAATTATACATTTCAAATAATAAATTATTAATTTATTATTTTTTCTTTCCAATTTCAATATTCATATTTTTACATTATGTTTCAAGTAAAATATCTAAACCATCTTTCTTAATCCTAGGATTTAATATTGTAGCTAAGTAATAAAGAGGAGAAATGTTCTCCCAATACATTTTTAAATTTATCTTCCATTATTTCAACAATACTTTTAAATTGTGGATTATTTATATATTTTGCAAAACAATCACTAATCACCATTAATTAATAAGGTAAATTACAACTAGTTGAATAATAAATACCCGATAATTCATTAGTTGCATCATAAAAATGTTTTGAAAAATCTCTTATACAAATTGTGATTTCCCAATCTTCCTCATATATAATATCATTAGGCATTTTTGCATTATAAAAATCACTAAAAATTTGTTTATGAGAAATACAACTTTCTAACATAGCATGGGTATAACTCCATCTATGTTTAACATCTAATATAAAATATTTATATTTTAAACCATAATTTTGACATAAATATTTAAATTCTTGTTTTCTTTCTCTAGAACTTCTAATATATAAAAAAATTTCTAATTTTAAAAATATGAGTAGAAATAATATTTAAAGCATCCTGAATACATAAATTTAAGATGTGACATACACATCTGATATGAAAAAAGTTACCATTTAAACATGGTTTTAATTAAGATTTTAAAATAATTATTACAAAATTATTATTACTAGCATTATCAAAACTAATAAAAAATAATTTATTCTCAATTCCATAAGCATGTGAAGTATTTAAAATGCTTGTAGCAATAGCTGGGCCAGTATGTGGCCATTAAAGCCTAGTAAACTTAAAATTCTTTTATTTAAAAGCCATTTTTCATTAATAAAATGACTAGTAACACAAATATAACTTATGTTAAATTTAGAAGTCCAAACATCAAAAGTACTTGCAACTTTAGAATTAAGATTTGATAAAATATAAGTTAAATTTTGTTTATATGAATAAAAATTTTTTAATGCATCTAATCTAATAGTATTCCTAGAAACTTTTTATATTGTGGATTTATAGAATTACGTAACCATTTTTCAAGTTTAGTATCTTCAGCTAACAAAAATGGTTGTTCAGCATGTACAATGTATTTTGCTAATTATTGCCTCATTATTTCTTGAAAATATTTAAATCTACCAAAATCTCTCCGCCCAATTTGTTTTTGTGTTGTTTCTCTCCCTTCTTTTTCTTCATTCTCATGGTTGAGCAAATGCCTGCCAAAATGACCAGTGCCACTCTTGCTACAATAGCTAAAGTATTTCCTACATATTTGGCAAATAGCTCTTTTTCCCTTCCCCTCAACCTATTCTACTTTAAATATTTTCCAAACCAGGCTAACCAACTTAGTGGCCTTCTTTTTCTTTCCCCTAGTATCAGTACTAGGGGTGAAAGTTCCATCAATATCAATAGCATCCATATCAGTGTTAATACTATAATGATACAACTGAATATCGTCAACATTAAACATGTTGGGGAATYGGTTTTGGGAGGAGCTAGCCATTTTTTTAAATTCTAAAAAATAAAAATTAATTTAATTGGACTTACTCGGATTACAGGTTCAGAATCCCAACTTGATTTCAATGGTTGGGATTTGAGATACTTAAGCCTCTCAAATTGATTTCAACTCCAAGAGTCCAAGCCTCCCAAATTGCTAACTGCTAATTAATTTGAGATACTTAAGCTAGTTGAGCAGAGCAAGCCTTCTTCTTGTTGAAACTTCAATAAAGTTGAGAACAACCCATCAGAGTTTAGATCAATTAAGACTTCAGAGAATGTATGAGAGAAGAGATTAAGAAATTGTTGAATTGGTGTGATGAAAATGGTGGAGGACATGGCTATTTATAGGAATTGAAAATAATTCAATTGCCCAAAATACCCTAAAAACTAGTCATTTTTTAGTTATTGGGATGGGCATTTTGGTCATTGTAAAGTTATTTATCACTTTATCCAAAATGCCCCCTAAACTAGCCAAGGTTCAAAGTATCGAAAACGTAAGGTGTATCAAAAAGACAATTTTAAGAGACGTATCGGGATATGCTTTGGATATGTATGGATACGGATGAAAAATTAAGATACGCATAAATATGGTAAAAATTTCAAATAAATCATAAAAAATATATTACTAACTATATTTACAAATTTTATATGATTGTAAATAAGTCATTTAAATGTAAAAAACTATAATTTAATGGTTTATATAAAGTATGACATATTGGGACACAATTAGTTACCGTTTAAAAATGATTGAATAACTAAAACGTAAAATAACAAAAAAAAAACAAAAATGAGAATGTCAATTTTTAAAAACCAATATAATTAATATTAATATTTATTAGTATATAAATTTTAATAATGAATTTTAACATTTATTAATAAACACTTGTCACTCATTAAGAAAAGTGAGAATTTATATAGATTATAGCAAACAAACATGTGTGGCTCGTTGGGGGGCATTTGTATCATTTTTTCTCCCCCCCCCATAACCAAAATACATAAATACCCACCCCCTATATAGCTATTTATAGTTGTTAGGGGGTATTTCTGTAAACCCTCCCAAAAGCGGAAACTAGCTGTTGGGGGGTCCCAACGACTAGTTTTTGGGTGGGCCGCGCTACAGTCCCGCAGGCCGTGTCATGTTGACCAGTGGACTTCGAACCCCAGGCCTAGCACGGCCCACATGGTCATGTCGGGCCTGGTACGACCCATGTGCCATTGTGTCAGGCTGGTCCAAAGTTGGGCGAGGCCATGTCGGGCCACAGGCGGCCCAACCCGATTTACACCTCTAAATAGCACCAACCGGTTTTGGTTTGTGTAGGTAATTAAACCAACAATTCGGTTTGGTTTTGGTTTTCATGTTTGAAAACCAAAATCAAATTGAACCAAATCGAACATGTAAGCCTTTAAGTAATGGGTAAATTTCTTAAACTACCCTTATGGTTTAGCTAATTGACTAAGTGTACCCTTACTGTTTGAAAATTGACTAACATTACCCTTACTATTTCTGACAATGGATGAACTCTTCCCTTACCTTTAACGTCCGCTAATGCTCCGTCAATATCTATGCACATGTGACTGCATGTGACCAATACAAATTTTTTAAAACCCAATATTACCCTCATATCTTGAGCCCCCCATTCTCTCTCTCTCTCTCTCTCTCTCTTCTAAGACCTCTCCCTCCACCTTTGTCCCTCTCTCCATTCTCAATCCCCCCACTCTCTCTCTCTTGCCCGCACATTAACCATTGGTTCAGGACGAGTCTTCCCCTTCTCATCATAGTAGTTCTGCCATAAATCATACGACAAAGCAAATTTTCTCTACTTGTTTCTTCGTTGAAAAATTCAACATTTGAAAAAGCTTCTGGTATGACAAATAGACAAAAAAATAAAAGAAAACAACGAAACAGAGTAACCAAAGATCCACTCTTTTCTAATTTCTTACCTCAAAAACCTTGACTTCTAAGGAGTATGGAGATGAGGGAGAGGGAGGAGAAGACTAGGAGTATGTTCGGATCTGTGTGCGCATCTCTTCGTGGCTCTAGACGAAAAAGGCAGAAATCATGCCACCAATGAAGTGGCTTCCCATGACACCATTCTTTCACTCAGGAGAATTCAACAGCARAAGTCGAGTGAAAGATGGAGGGGGATAAGACCCAGGTAACGTATTCTCGATAGGAAACGGTGACACGAATGAAGTGGGGCTCTTGTTTATACTCAACCGGCCAACACTACTTCTTGCAACCGATGAAGACATACAACATAATTCAGATGTTTGTTCAGTATCGTCGCAACTGAATTGCCTTTGTAATTTTGCCAGCCTTGCGTAATGACCG